ATTCCTAACTTTGGGTGAAAGGATTAACGTAGCCCTGGACATCGCATACGCTTTAGATTATCTTCACAACCAGTGTGTATCCCCACTAATACATTGTGACATGAAGCCAAGCAATGTTCTTTTGGATCTTGAAATGACTGCATATGTCAGTGACTTTGGGTTGGCAAGATTTATGTGTGCTAATTCAACAGAAGCACCTGGTAACTCTACAAGTTTGGCTGACCTAAAAGGATCCATTGGATATATTGCACCGGGTGAGAGAAATTGGAAACCTATACTTATTCTTTACTTGTATGCTTCAATCATTTTATTAACTTTGTGAATCATATTTTTCTCCATTCACCTTTGTTATGTTTTCAAATGAAAATGCAGAGTATGGAATGGGTGCGCAAATATCCACGAAGGGTGATGTCTATAGCTATGGAGTGCTGTTGTTAGAGATATTAACTGGAAAGCGTCCAACTGATGAAAAATTCAAAGATGGTAGGAGCCTCCATGAACTTGTTGATACCGCATTTCCCCACAGAGTAACCGAGATTTTAGACCCCAATATGCTACACAATGATTTGGATGGTGGAAACTTCGAAATGATGCAAAGTTGTGTCCTCCCACTGGTTAAGTTGGCCCTCATGTGCTCGATGGCATCACCGAAAGACCGGTTAGGTATGGCGCAGGTTTCCACTGAAATACACTCCATCAAGCAAGAATTTCTTGATCTTTCCAGTGGAGGAAAAATAGTGTGAGTAATAATTAGACCTAGGCAGTACATTTGGCACTCCACAAAATAAACCTAGCTAAGGTTGTCTTCCTTCTTATTTTTGCTTCCTGAGATTAGTGCAAAGCTGTTCTGCATTGCAACTACTATGTACAGCTACTTCTATTACCATAATGAAGTCCACACAAAATTAACCTCTTGGTCCTAAAATTTGTTTGGGGCAGCAGCAAATGCAATGGTCAGCAAACAGCAGAGAGCAGGCTGGCAGCACGACCAAATATGGCTAATAACTTACAAACTAACAATTCCACGGTGGTTAGTCAGCAGCACAACTCACAACATTCAGGCGTAAGGATACGCATAGAGCAAAACGGCCACACCTGTGGCGTGCCTTCGCGCGCGTGTACTGCGTGCTACTTTCAGAGGCATTTCCACAAACACGCCACGCGCGTTCGGAGGCCGTACACGAAACCGAACTCACAAGCATAGGCAAAGGCATATAGAACAGTAGCGTGCTGACCTCGGAATACGACGGCGGGCCGGGGAAACCTCCATCGTCCTGCGCCGGCCGACTCGGCGTCGCCATCGCCCATCGCGTCTTCGGCGGCGGCGGCGGCGCGACAGGCTCGGCGCGGCCATGGTCTCGACGCCGTCGGAGAGAGAAAAAGAGACGGTGGGACAACAAGATTGGCTGGGCCTGGCTGATGTTGGGCTCATGGGCCCGAATTGAGTTTCTTTTAGTAAAGGGACAATTTCGTTTTTCCCCCACTTTGAGCTCTAATATTGATTTTGTAGGGTTTTCGTTTTTGCCCCCACTTTTTTAATCGAAAGAGACGTTTACCCCTGGTTTGGATGGAAGTCAGTGGGACCGAGTTTGTGACAGTAAAATAAAGAGAAATAAAGGAAATAAAGATTTTTTTAGTTAGTGATTTACCTTTTTACCCTCGCTGCACACGGTCAAACCCGAGACCTACCTGGCGGCGCTGGCGGCAGCGGAGAGCGGGCGGCGGCCAGGCGCAGCTCCTCCCGGCGCGAGCAGGAGGCGAGCACGCCAGGCGGCGGGGAGAGGGCAGCGCGGCGGCGACCGGCCGGCGGCGTCGAGCGGTCGGCAGCCAAGCGGCCAAGCTGCTGAACACGGCGCCAAACACGACGAGGCTGCTGCCGTTGTACGGGCCGTCGTCGGCGAACACGAAGTTCATCGACATCATCAGCGACAACGCGTCCTTGCCGGCGGCGACGTACATCCCCTGCGCGCGTCCGACCAGCCTCGAGGAGGTCATGTTGGGACCGAGGCGTTTGTCGTCGATGCCTCCGCCACCTGCGCCACCGTGGAGTTGGGAGCGCCGCCGCAAACACGAAGGAGGAGGAGGCAGCCATTGCTTAGCTCTGTGTTGGTCACATGGTTCTAATTAAGATAGCTTAATTAGCTGTCTGATCTGCGATGACGTGTGATCTGCGACTTTTACTACGTTGGTTATGATAGATGTGGAGAGGGTATAAATGTCATATTTAACACCGTTAACTCCTCCATCTAAAACAGGGGCAAAAATATTTTTCGATTCAAAAAAGTGGGGGCAAAAACGAAAACTCTAAAAAGTAGGGGCAAAATCAATATTAGAGATTAAAGTGGGGGCAAAAACGAAATTGCCCCTTTAGTAAATTGCAGTTTAGGTCACCTTTTACGATTTCCCTTTTATTGTTAAAGTTTTAATTTACATCATATTTAAACTAATCTTTTCACTTCGTACCAGATAACTAACTAACTATGTCATTTTTTCGATTTAGATCATCCAGCTCTATTTACTATTCATATGTACCCTTCATTCTAGTGAAGATATGACTTGCATATAGACAAGGAAGTTCATCGGTGTACCCAAACTAATTTGAGTGAGGTTGTTGTTGGGTGATGAAGAAGTCGTTGAGGGTAGTCCAAACCGAAAAAATGTTAAAATTACCCGATTCAAAATGGAAAGATTAGTTTAAGAAAGGTCCAAAGTAAAATTTTGCCAATAAAAGATGGCCTACACTGTAATTCTCTCTAAAATAAAATCCAATGTTCCTGTCAAAGAAAAATACCTCAATCCCTTGCAAATTCGAGTTAATTTTATTTGTATAAGCAGATAGTACATATTTCTTTGATAGCTTCAAGGGAGGAGGGGATGAAGGAGAGAGGATGAACACGAGAGAGAAGGGGATGAAACAAGATCCCCAACAAACAATCAGTCAGCAAAGACCACATTCAAAGACAAACTATCGGTTGGCAAAATTTTTGCTGACCAACTTCAATGGTTGGAACAAGTCTAGTCGGCAAAGAAATTTCCCAACCAACATATTTTTGCTGGTCGACCATCTGACCCCAATAGCATATATTTGCCGACCGATATCATTTTTTCCGACCGACATGTTTTTCCCGACCCACCACAATTACCGAGCTGGTATCGGAAACTTTTTGCCGACCGACCATAAGCCACCAAAGTTTATTATTACCGACAGATTGACCGTCAGTAAAAATTTACATAATTACCGACCAACAATCGGTCCATAAAATTTGGGTTGCCAATCATCCGTTGGGGTTGGTTAAAAAGTTATACCGACCAACTGCCTATTGGTATAGATGGATATTCCCCGTCGGAAGTCGATGGGAATGTATGGACATGGTGCAGTGATAGGCACCGTTTGGACTTGACTGGTGCACGGTCTATTTTTCTCCGTTAATAACCTTATATATATTTTAAGCTGAGTATTATTATTATCATATCATTATACCGTAGCATTCGTTACAACTAAATCTTTATTAACAAGATCTTGCATGGTTATATCCAGATAAAAGAAATATTGATGGGAGCTTCTGCAATATGTTTGGCTCTATGGTTGTGTAGGAATGATATGGTTGTGTAGGAATGATATGGTTTTTGACAAATCATCATCTATTACATATATGCAAGCAATTTTCAGGGCAACCTATTGGCTCCGGTTTTGGACACAACTACAAAGGTGTAATGAAGATGGTGAGCTTTTAAAAGTTGCATGTCGTAAGCTTGAGATAACGGTTATGCAGCTTTTTGTCAATTATGGATGGAGATTCACAAATAGACTTCAATAATGTGTTCTCCTGATCTTGTTTTGGTTAAATTTACCTTTGTGTGGTCATTTCTTATGTCATTTCTGAACTACACTTGTTTTAGAGTGCTAGATTGTAATAATGAGCTGTAGCTCTCTTTGAGCAAAGGCCGGGATGACTATTCCATTATCTAAAAAAGATAAAAGAAATATATATTGTAAATTAATTTTATCATATATATAAATTACTTTTGGATTTGATTAAATCACTTCTTAGATATTTATGAAAGTAAATTTAATAAAGACAAAAAGTATTTTACACAAATTATAAAAAATAATTAACACAAAAAAAAGTAATTTAGCACAGAACTAAAAGTAAACCAGTTGTGGAGGTAAGAACATGAGTCTATCTAAAAATTAAATTGAATTGGCGCAAACTACCGAACTAACTAAAAACAACAATAAAATAACATATTCATAACATTATGAATGCCTAAGAAGTAATTTAATCAAATCAAAAGGTGATTTATATATATGTTAAAAAGTAATTTTCACATATAATAAAGCAATTTATAACACATGTATTTCTTTTATCATAACGTAATTATATAAGATTTTGTTAGAAAGATTTAAATGCAGTGAACACAATAGTATAATCGGATTATAGATTGGATAAGTAATTTAAGAGAAAATTTTATTTGAATTTTATGAATATTTTCTTTTTTACATGCTTTCATACTCCCACGTGGAGAAATCATACATATTGAAATGATAGCTGGTTATAACTAATTAGTGTACAGTGCATATTTGTGTCCTTTTGAGTTCTTGTACCTACATCTTAACAATGCCACAAGCAGATCTCCATAATCTAACAATTCCAGCACTCGCCACCAAACTTTGACACTACTCCCTCCGTTCCAATATATAAGAAACTAGGACCATTCGTAGTATTAGGAAATATCCCATCCGATTCTATGTTCTTATATATTAGGACAGAGGGAGTACTTAACTTTGCATTTCATAGACTAGGAAAAGTCTCCTACCAACCATGCATTCCATCTCGACCACCTGCCGCGCTAGCTCCATACTTTGCATTTCTAGTCCATGTGTGGTCATCGTTCAATCGATCACCAATTTCAACAGCCCAGTCAATTCTCCCATTTAGACTAGATTTGAAAATCAACAGCATTGACATTATTTGAGATGAGATAAGTATATATTTGAGCCTAGTTTCTGCAGGAGCAAAAGAGAATCCTTTGTGATGCATTCGATGGGAGCTGCTAGGCTTCGCATCAGGTTGCAGGCAGCTCTAGTGATGTCCCTTTTACTACTGCAGATTATGCCATTTCTGCCATGTACGCTCGCCACCGGAGGCAATTCTGCCGAGCTACTGATCATGGGCAGGGAGAAGCATGAAGGCCATCTCCTCTTAGCTCCAAGCAAATCGACACGGTCTCGTCGAATCCTACAAAATCGTATCAGCTCGGGTGGCGGTAATCCTTTGTGGGGTAAGTCGTAAGCTAAGAGAGATTAATTTTATAGTCCTTTTATTAAAAAAAATACATGAAGGTATCAAATTTTTATACTAAAAGTTTTAACTTGAGATATCTAGCTAGTTCATGGATGTACTAAGCTTTACATTAAAAAAATGGTATCTCTAGGTCTCGGTACCTTTAATTTTCAAGAATAATAAAAATACCCCAGTTATAATATGATCCAGAACTTATTGTTTGTGTAGTAAATGGATCTATATATATTCTGATATGTGCAGTTTATTCAAGTGTTAATGTGTTATCACCAGGAACTAGACTACTAGAGAAGCTACGCTAATTAATTAAACTGATGAGCATATATACTCTCCTATCATTTTCTCTCACGTCCACGATTTAATCTGACTTGGAGTTATATATATGTTTCAGACCCGAGACACGACCCTCCTTGTTGCTAGGATTTGAGCAGAGCCAAGTACAAAGTTTGCACCTTAATTTTACGGAGAAGTATTGTAGGTGTGGTGATGGAGTTATGGGGGCAAACAACTCCATTGACCAAGGTTTTAATCCTTGTGTAGGCATAATTTGACATAGGTATTTCCTTACTGTCTTGCAAACAAACTAGCAGGATGATCGGCATTTGCGCGATAAGATCTACTAAAGTTTATAGCTTCAATTCATATATATATTACACTCACTTTCTTCATCGTTTAATTGTACAATGTTATCCTTATTCTAATGTAACTTTATAGAATGTTTATTTTTTTTATTTCGTCGAGATTGTAATACTATTGTAATGCTAATCAAGCACATCTATCAGTGTCGAGGTCTGCTAATGAAAAATTCCTCTCATTTCAATTAAGTGAAACTATTTCTATTTCTTCGTGAAAAATTCTATATATAGTGCTCTTTTTCGATCGCTTTGCTCTCGTCCTTGTCACCGATAATTCACTTTGTTTAACCAACCTGAGTACCTGACCTTCATGAGGAATCATCCTCGCTAAATTAGATGAAAAGCAAATGCGGGAAGGGCATAGAATGATTCATTGCGGGGAAAAATAGCGTGTTATGTGTACTGTGTTTCTAAAACAAATAGCGTGTTATGTACTCCGTATTAGTTCTATATAATAGAAAAACTAGGTGGGCACGGTCACACGGAGAAAGAGGATAGAGTGGTGCTGACGGGGCTCGGGGATACCGGATCTTGTGCTATTAATGACGCACAAGGGAAATGAATGAGAAACGATGCGCTGATACTGCCCACCTCACTTTGGCTTGAGAGAGGAGAGGAGAGAGATGTGAAACGAGATATAAACTTACAGCCAGCTTAAGTTTAGGAACTAAGAAAATCTGTGAGAAAGACGGATGGACCATATACTTATAATGAAAAGCTAATTACTATATGAGTGAGCTGAGAGATAGGCTATAAATATCTATACAATTAACAGCTGGCTGTATTGTTAGCCTTGCTCTGATGCTAGCTCCTGTTTCGCCCTGCTCCGACATAGGGGGAAGTCTAATTCACATATTTTTATAATAGATATTTTATCTGTTTCAAAATACTATAACCTAGAATTAGATTATACACAATCTAGTACTACAAATCTGAATCTAAAGTGGTCCTAGTGCTATGAATCTAAGAGCCTGCTTGGGGGAGCTTAAGATTCTGAGAAGCAACTGATTGGTAGCCAGCTTCTGAGAATCTGGAGAAGCTAGATTTCCTAACTTCTGGCTTCTAGTTCATTTTTTGGATTCTACAACTACAGCTTCTCAGAATCTGGACCAAAAGCTAGACTGTTTGGGGAGCTTCTGATTCTGGGAGAAGCTGCAGCTGCTAGAAGGTCCCCAGAAGGCCCTAAATAGGACTGTCCAAATTCATAGTATTAGGTGATATCTAATTCGATTTTAAATTATTATATTTTACAATGGAGGGCATCTTCCCTACACTCATCATGGAAACATTTCCTTCACATGCGTCATTTTGTACCATGAACATTTTGCATATCTGCCCCCAGTAAACTAGTTTTGATATTTTCCATCAATCATGCATGCTCGTCCTTTGAAACAAGCGTGCACAATAAACAACCGAAGAAATCATTTTTAGGACATGTTATTCCAGCTTTACTCACATATGCTGTGAAGAAAAAGTTGGCTCACATTTGACATGATGAACAATTATTAAACATGTTTCAAAATACCACTAAACTCATAAAGTGAGCATAGCTAAACTGATTAGATCTTGTATGGTGGAACAAACCCATGTGAGTTTAAGTTCTAAACTTCGCATGAGTGTTCACATATGCAGATAATTATTCTTTTAGGGTTGGCGACAAAAGACAACAAGACGTACTAGAAAACCCTTAATAGGGACTGGCTCATAGGTGTTGATTTAATTAAAACCGGCAGTTATAATATAGTATAGGTACCGGTTATTTTAAAATCAGTACCTATACTCGGCACCCATGGTCACCCTGAGCACCGACGAGGAGCGGTATGGGCAGCGGCAGCAGCCGGATGTGGTCGTAGTGTAGAACAGCCACCCTGAGCACCTCCTCGTTCGCAACATGATTCCGACGACGGAGATGGCGATGGCGCGGTGGAAAGCGTCGGCCACCAGGTGAGATGGGGAGTGCGCTCCATGCCGCCGCTCCTCATCACCTATGTTCCTCGTCCCTGCTCTGTATTGTGAGTAGAAGGCATTGGCGGAGACCGCTCCTCGTCCTAGCTTCGCTCCGCCGCCACTCCGTCTCAAGGCCGAGCCACCGCTCCTAGTGTCGGGCTCCCTCTCTTCACTAGCTGTGGAATGGAGGGAACTCGCCAACCACCTTGCAGTGTTGGGCTAGAGAGAGAAGGAAAAGAGAAAAGAAAACAAGCAGAAGAAAAAGTGACTAACATATCAGACCGCATACTGACTTAGCTGGTTAGACTTGGTCAACGTGCCACGTCAGCGAAAATTGCTTTCAAAACCGTTGAGGAGGTTAAATTACACTGTTTCAATAGTTGGAGGGTCAAGACAGGGTTGAGAGATACAAATTAGATTGGAGATATATTTGAGGGAGTCAAAGTGGATTTATTTCGGAGGAGAAAATGCCTCCAAGAACAAGAGTGCCCAATTCTTGTGCTGTTTAGCCACATTGGGCCATGTAATGGGTTGTAACTCATTCTTTCTTCTAACTAGGCGAAACCCCGCGCGTTATTATGGAAATTTAGTATGGTAACAATAAATAGAAATAATGTGTAAGATAGCTGGATGATATAAGCTTACATATGTTGACGTGGTTTACAATAATTTAAATAGTATATATAATGATTATTTAAATGTGAAAGTATAATGTGATGTGGCTTTATGAGAGAAAAAAAGAGGAAGATAATTTAAACTATAGATTAATCATCCAAGGGCAATAAACAATTGAAGTGGTATGGCTTAATGAGAGAAGAGAGAAATAATATTAACTAAGTGATGGCGAACTATATAAGCATATATAAGATATTAAAAAAATGATGGAGAGATATATTAAAATATTATGTGAATTATGTGGGATGATGATTTAACATGCTTGCATTTCAAAGCACTAAAATTTAACAAATTATAGAATTATAGATAATATAGTATACTTACATGATGTTTAAGATGTAATAATTGTTAGTGGATGATGATGTGCATTTTTGCATGTTAAGCTTTATAATTTAGTGGGTTATAACTTTATAGTAAGATGGGATAGTGGAAAAAATGGCTGAGTGGCTGTAGTAGGTGAGGGGGAGAGAGAGAAAAAAAGGGGTTAAATACTCGCTTGATAAATTGGAGGCGTCTTGGTGGCTGCGGCACTGGACCTAGTTGGATCGAGTTGCTGAATTACTCTATTGGTGTGTTTGGTTGGGTGGAATTGTTAAGGGGAAAATGTGAGTTTGAAGGGTGGCAACTTTTAAATCTATTGTTTGGTTGAATCGACATGGGGGGTTTTAGGAGGAATTTGGAAGGGGAGTATAAGAGCGAACCCTCATCTTTTCAATACGTGGATAGAGACAGGTAATTGGAAGGAAATTCCCATCTAAGTACGACGAGATATACCAGAGCCATATATCATCACTTAGAATTTAATTCACATCCATACTCCCCATGATTCTTATCTCTACTAGTACCAAATAAGAAACTAGAAGTAAAAATAAGACTCCCATGAATTTCCAATCCCCTTCCCATCTCTTACCAAAGCCGTGTGTCCAGAGAGAGAGAGAGAGAGGCGCTAACAGACCACTTTCAGTGCTGAACTTGGTGTCCCCACTCAAGCTTGGAGCATTTTACCAACATAATCTTCATTGACACAAAAATGTGATCGACCAAATTAAAGAGGCAACCAAGAAGAATTCCACCAATCGTGATCCAACTAAATATTCTGTTGTGGTTGTAGCTTCTTTTAAGCAAAGGTCGCGATTTCTTCCATTGTCCAAAAAACTGAATATTCAACCTGATATATTTGAAGAAGATCCTGACAGAGGACTAGTCCCTTTGAGAAATTCAGAGAAAAGAAATCCATGAAGCTAGCTAGATCATGCCGTAGAATTTCTGTACACTTTCTTGTTACTGTTGGCCGGTATCCCTCACACGACTGTTTTTTTTTTCGACCAACACCAGACGGTGCAATGATTCATTAAATAGAGCATGAGAAAATTACAAGACTACCATAGTGAGAGGCAGTAGGCAAGAAAAGGAAAAAAACACACCACCACGCACCAACAGCGCATATACATAACCCAGGAGAAGGCTAGCGCCGGACCGACCGCCGCTAAGTGTGACCAACTGTCGCTAAACCAACAAAGAAGCAAACACCGAAACCGCGAAAAACAAACCTAAACGAGCGCCGCACTCACATGGCTGTTTTGCTTATTTTTTCCTGGTGGATTCTGAACCATCTTCCTCTTTGTTTCCTTTTGGCCTAACTATAAACAATCTCACAGTTCCAATACCTGCCACCAAACTTTGCACTTTACTTTCCACAGTTTTTGCTAGATTTCATCATCCGATAGTTGGTATATTTACCCCGGCCGGTGTACATGTACCATTTAAAGGACTCGGAAATGTCTCCTACACCCTATATGTATTCCGACTTCACCTGTCACTGTTCTTTTCTCTTGCATTCTAGTCCATGTGTGGTCATCGTATAATCGATCTCCAATTTCAATTGCCTGCTTAAGACTCAAATAGAAATCAACGAAAGTAACATTGCTGAAAATTCAGACGATCGAGTATAGACCTCCTATTTATGCAAGCTGGCCGGTGTATTTCTTAACTCTGCATTTGTAATTTGTACTACACAGTTAGCCTGATCGTGCTTTGTGCAGCTAGCAGCAAATTAATTACAGAGAGGCCAGTGAACTTCGATGGCTGCTCGCCTTAGCGTTGGCGTTGGGTTGCAGGCAATCCTAGTGACGTCCCTCTTGCTGCAGATGACATTATTTCTGCCGTGTGCGCTCGCCACCGATGGCAGAAAGCCTTCCCAGCTACTGATCATGGGCAGAGAGATGCATCAAGGCTTGGATCCAACCAAATCCACACGATGTCGTCGAATCCTAGTGCCGCGGCTAGTGAAGCACAACTGGGATCCGGGTAAGCTGCGTAGGTGTAGTTGGATCGATCTTTTTTTTTTCTTTTTAAGAAGGATATTTTTTACCCGGTCTCTACATCCAACCGGATATACACAGTTTTTTTAAATTGGAAACTTAGCCCCACGTCAAACAACCCAATCTGAAATTCATTCCTATCAAAATTTAAACTTAGAACCTTGATATGCTACTCAGGTCATTGCAAACATTATGCTACATACCCTTTCATGATTCGTGCATTTAATTCATCGAGATAAGTGTTAATGTGTGTCATTACTTATTATCAGGGTCTTATCAAACTAACAAGCATATAGTATGTACTCCTATCATTTTCTTTGGCGTTGTGCATGATTTAATCTGACTTTGAGTTATGTTTCAGGACATAACCCTCCTTGTTGCTAGGAATTTGAGCCGGCCCTTTACAGAGAAGTACTGTAGGTATGGTAATGGAGCCATGGAGATATATAACTCCATTTATCCGGGTTTAAATCATGGTTCCTAGCTGTGGACCCGTATATTGCACGGGCACTGTAATTACTTTTTTCGATTATATGAAAGACTTACACGCTCAAAAATGTTATTTTATTTTTTTTCTCTTATTTTTTAATATATTTTGTACAGATCTTATATTGCTAATAACCGCAGTATTTAATTTTGTATAGTGGAGTTGTGTTCTTGATCAGATTGAATGCTATTGTTATATATATTGCAGAAGTGATAGAAAAAATATTTTTTGAATTTTAGTTTTTTCTATGTGAATGACATGTGGATCCTGCGGACACGTAGGCGCCACCCTAGAATGCCACATCAACGCATGGAGTGGGTTGAAACCTATTTAGACCTATATAACATCGAAGACAAGTTTGAAGACCGAAAAATGCATTTTGAGAGTTCATGTACCTAAATGATACACCTGCACAAATTTAAATTTAGGAACCGTTCGTGCACTTTACTCTTCTTTTTGTAGAATATATAATTACATAACAAAAATATAATATAATAAAATATTTGTTGAACTTGTAGTTATAATCTATATCTTAAACAAAGCTAAGCTTTCTCTCCCCTCTCTCTAAAGTTGTTTTTTTTTGGGGGGCTGGCCAAAGATCAGGCCGGCCAAATTTCATTAAGATTAGTAGTATATACAAATAAACAGGTTTTAGACTTCGACGAGAGGCTGTCGGAGCTACTAGGAGAATGCTTAAAAAACATCCTCCCAAAAGAAAGGGGCAAAAATCAGCTTACAACTAGGATGCTACTCTCCTGAACAATTGAAGACTCCTGCTTCTATCCAGATTGTGATCTCCTGAATGGTGCCAAACAGGTTGTCGATCTACTGATCGCGCTTGATCCTCTCTCTACAGCTGTAGAGTGACATTTTTGAAAGCGACATATATTACATAGGCAGATGCCATATAAATACATATTCGAATTGTTCGATCACCACATAGATCTTGAGGGGAAGGGAGTTCTCACATGTGAAAAACCTTGAACGGAATGATATGCAAAATATTATGCCAAGTATATTGAGAGAGCAGAGTGAGCCCGTGCCACGTTCATCGAATTGACAGTGAGAAACTAGGGAGCTTCTCAGACAGAACTAACAAATACAAGCTGCAGAAAAAAAATGGAGTACATTTTGGTCCACCAAATCTTCTTAGAGTATAATTTTAGCCTCAAAAGAAAAAAAAAATGGATAGTTCTACCGTCAACATTTAGGGCTTATTCGGAATACATGATAAAAATTTAAGAATAGGAAAAACACAGAAATATGATAGAATTGTAGGTGTGAAACAGAGGATTAGAAAATATACAAAAACTGGAAAAACTATCATTCGGATAGTGCAAAGGAAAACTCAGGAATCTTGATTCATTCATTACTACAAGCAGTAATGTGATAACATATTATGGGCGTGTTTAGTTCTTTGGGTGTAAAGTTTTAAAGTATACGGACACACATTTGAAATATTAAACGTAGACTAATAACAAAACAAATTACATATTCCGCCTGAAAACGGCGAGACGAATTTATTAGGCCTAATTAATCCGTCATTAGGAAATGTTTAGGCCATCCCCAACCCTCCATGTCATCTAGTTTTCATAGCATTAAATACATTGCCATATAAGCAAAAATTCTAAAACCATTTCTCATGCAAAAAACATCTCTACACAAGTACCAAGAATAAAAACAAGAGGATAAGTGGATAAAAGGAGAGAGAAGAGAGGTGATTGGATGAGAATTTAATTTAAAGACACCATCCATTATATACATAGTTTCTACACATAGTGTCTATATGACATGGCAAGTATGAAAACTACTTGATAGTTTCTGGGTTCGGGATGGCCTTACTGTCGCATTACATTGTCAAATCATGGCATAATTAGGCTCAAAAGATTCGTCTCGTAATTTACATGCAAACTGTGCAATTGGTTTTTTTCCCCACATTTAATGTCTCATGCATGTGTCCAAACATTTGATGTGATGTTTTTGGCTAAAATTTTTTAATCTAAACAAGGCCTATATCTAATTTACTGTACTTAGATGGTACAAGGCAGCAACTGATGTGTGGGCCAGGAATAGTGGACTGTTTTTTCCTATGAAATTCCTTTGAAGGTACTGGGGACCTACAGAAATGCTTGGGAACAGAATGGAGTGAATCCTATGCTCCGAATGCATATACACTAGCAAACCCTTAGGAACTGGTTTCCTATGAAAAACCTATCGAAAGCATGTAATACGAATTGAATGAGCCCTTAATTAATAACACCTTCAACCAAATCCCACTGTGGTTTTAATTATTTGATATAGTGATTGTATTTTTTCCTTTGATTGATCCGTGACGAGGAAGGCTTAACTCCGACAAGTGAATGGAAGGATCAAGATATCACCTAAAGGGAGGGTTGAATAAGCGTTCCTGCGAATTAACGAAACTACATACATGGTGGAACTAGTATGTCAACACCGGATACCCCAGTTTTGCCAGCAAGCACAAAAATGAAAAGATCTCAACCCCAAATTGAGTTCTAGATCAAAGCAACTAATGTGCAGTGTGTCATATGTTGTTCTTTCGTAAAGCCACGAAGCACCTGCACCCAAATACATGCACAACCGAGTAGATTAAAGAAAAGCACAAATCAAGACAAGAATTCAAAATACAAGCAAACCAAAGTAGAGACGCAAAGATGTTTTCCAAAGTTCGGATTCTCCACCGAGAATCCCACGTCCCCGTTGAGGAAGCTCCCAAATAAATTAGGTATTTTTCAATTGCTTTCCTCTTTTTTTGAAAATTAAACTCATAAATTTATTTATATAGTGAGGATTACAGATGGAGCACAAAGGAAATGATATTCCCAGAACATCGCTATAAAAGATAAGACATAAAGAACAACACCATCCATTCCAAAGGTAAAGTTAGCTAAACTAAGAAAAACATCTTCCAAGATAATCCAAAGAGCAGTAATGAACGTGATTGACAGGGGACTGCGGCATTGCCACGACGACCACGTCCATGAGCCTCTACTGAAGATGAGCACACCGCTTGACAGACTGGTGACACCATTTTAAAAGAGGCTTTCCTCTTTTCACTGTCTTGTTTCTTCCCCTGTGGAGGTGAAGCTGCTACCTTCACCTCTTGGAGAAACAAATGCTTCACAAATGTTAGGTGGAGCCCTTGAGTGATGGGATTTGTTGTCTTGTGCTCTCAAACTTCAAATCTCTCAACCCAACTCTTAACATTTCTCAATAATCACAAAAACCTCATAAAGAGGGGTAGGGGAGAGCTCGGGAGGCCTCTAGGATGTCACTATTACGGATTGAGCCAACAATAATCCTCTCAGACATACTCCCTACTTTTTTTGGAAAGGGAAAAAAACATTATGGAGCTAGAGGGGCCATATCCATATGTCAACCACCCTCGCTACTAAATCCCTAATTTTGTTTTGAAAAAAAAATGATATTATGGAGCCAGAAGGATCATAGACCACATGTCAGTAAAAAATATATGCAAGAATTAAGAGATTAAATATATACAAATGGTAATTATAACAAGTTAATTATAATTTTCTTTAATTAAAATCCCGTTGTAACGCATGGGCAATATGCTAGTACTATATACTCTTTTCTAATTCTACTTTAAGCAGAGCACTATTGCATGCCGAAGCAGACATAAGTATAATCTTTATTTGTGGTGTAGTTTTGGTACTCCATTCATTCTAAAATATAAGAACATATGATCGGATGAGACATTTTCTATTACTACGAATATAAACAGACAGAAAATGTCTCATCCAATCATACGTCACGGAGGGAGTACATATAATCCATCAGGTCATCAAACCTACATTGCTTATAATGGTCAGAGCGGCTTAGCGCGCCTATATTTCTAGGGAGACCCAAAATCAGAAAGAAGCAATGTGGACAGAAGAGTATTCTAGTCAACAACGGAGGCTATTATTTTAGTGGGGTGCATGTATCGACCTATGGTCCAACTCAGTCCTTTTCAGCATGCAAGTTATTCAGTTAAAAAGTCATCAACCAAACTGAGCTGGTACAGACATTTTTTCAACCCGTCAAATGACCACGCGCATCAGGCAAATTGCAGAGTTTGTTATCTATGAAATACTACAAAGTAGCACCACTCTCCAGTTTAAAACCGTTAATTGTCGGGTATCCCTCAGTCAATTGCATTGCATCAAGAAGATCACATTAAGCAATCCAGCATGCCAAATCAACTCAAAACTTCTGACTTACCAAATAAATGACGGACCTTAGAAAATGAAGAGAACACCAAATTCCAGACTGAGATAATGCATCACATTCACATAAGACTATTTTGTGTTGGACTACGATTTTGTTTTTAGGCTAGAAGCAGTAGCCCGATTTCCTTGGAGTACAGAAATATAAGGCAAGTGCGTGCCTCCTCCTACATATTAGCCATAAGCAAAATAGCAAGCCTCACTGCCCTCAGCACCAACAGCAAAATGATCCGCTTGTTTGCTTCCTGCCCAAAACTCATTCCTCTCTTGGCTGTCTTCATCTTCTCAAGTTCCCTGCCATTAGCAATCAGTGATGACACAGACACTGATAGAGAAGCCCTGCTCTGCTTCAAGTCCCAAATCTCTGATCCTAATGGAGCTTTAAGCTCTTGGACCAATACATCCCTGAACTTCTGCAGCTGGCAGGGTGTTTCATGCAACAGCACACAGCCCCAACTCCGAGTCATGGCTCTCAATGTCAGCTCCAAAGGCCTTGGCGGCTTAATACCACCTTGCATAGGCAATCTGAGCTCCATCGCAAGCCTCGACTTATCAAACAACGCATTCCTTGGAAAAATTCCAAGTGAGCTCGGCCGTTTGGGACAAATCAGCTACCTGAACCTGAGCATCAATTCTCTTGAAGGCCGTATTCCAGATGAGCTGACCTCATGCAGAAATCTCCAGGTACTCGGCTTATGGAACAACTCCCTCCAAGGTGAGATACCACCAAGCTTAACCCAATGCACTCACCTCCAGCAAGTTATGCTTTCCAACAACAAGCTTGAAGGCGAAATTCCTACCGGATTTGGGACGCTTCGTGAGCTGAAAACATTGGATCTCTCCAACAACGCCCTCACAGGTGACATACCACCATTGTTGGGCAGTAGCCCGTCTTTTATATATGTCGATCTCGGGGTCAATCAGCTCACAGGAGGAATCCCAGAGTTCTTGGCAAATAGCTCATCCCTGCAAGTCATTAGGCTCAT